GATCATACAGCTAATAAGTACAAAAATATAATCTCAAATAAAAACTAAGAACAAATGATAACTCTATCAGGTCCCTCGATGTATTTGAGAAGTATTTCTTTGGAATGACTTTTGGTGTGTGATTCTTCTGAAATGCAAAAACTAAGGTTATGTCATTTGTGAAGAGAATATTATAAAATAGACAAAAATCTTAGAGCAATGTCATTGGCTGAGAGAACTGCTCTTTAGACGCGTACCAACCACTATAGTAATGACAGTGGTTGCAGGTTTTTTATAGCTGTCGTTTTCACATAACTGAACTCTCAGTCTCTCATGGGATCGGGTCCCCTATAAGATCTCATAGTTTGTGAAATCAATAAATTACCGAATAACTTTAAAATAATATTTCCCCCCTTTTTGATAGTGACAAACTTACTCACATTTTCCCTTTAGCAACCAACAACCAGTTCCCTCTGTAAACATGACCAGGTCCTTCCTTACAAGTGACGGATACCTCTGTGAAGGTAAGTACTTTTCCCATGTGATAACAAAATAACAAATCTTTAATGCAAATTGTTTATTAATTCAACAATAAGTAGGCCTTCCTAGCTAATTTATAGCATTGTTGCTAAAAAAAATTAAGCTTCTTAGGTATGTATAGCTAGGCATAGTTTGGGCAAAATTGAAATTCAATATTTTTTTAAATTTTGGTTTGAATTTTGTATGAGGGCAAAGAATCGAACAATAATAACCACAACATGAAAGATGGACCAATATTCGAGCAAAGATTATGATACTTAACTTCCTCAATATTTAAGATAAAATATATTATTTTGATAACTAATAATATTATTGGTAATCCGTAAAGAACAATTACAAATTCGTAGCTAATATCGCAGTAAATTTCAATGGTTCTTGTAATATTATAAAAAATATATATATCATGAATTTCAATTGTTTAAAATATCTAGATAGATGATGAAATGTGTAATTCATCGGTTCTCCAAAATATAATATGTTGAACAAAATGGAATATATGTGTACTGACATTAATGGACCTTTTTTTTTGCAATTAATTGTGTTTTAGCTTTTGTCACAATTATTTCTAGTAATTTAATAGTCAATTATCTCATAATATCTTATTCTATCTATTTATAATTTTCTCTTTTTTAATATATCGTTATAAAAAAAATGGAGTACTTTTGAATGATACAACACACACCTATTGATATTTATAAATGAACCATTCAATTAATTTTATTTTTTAAAAGATAAGTCTTCGAATCAACCACACATACTTTTTTATTAAAGTCTAGATAGCGTGCTCACCACTGCACCATAGTATCTAATTGTATGAAAAAGTTGATCATGACTTATACCAAATATTTGATGCATGTGCAAAGAAAAATAGATATTTACGCTTTAAAGGAAGTAGAGAACTAGTATAGAAAAAAGGACTATCCTTATAAGTTATTATTTTCTTCGTCTTAATTTATGTGACACCATTTAATTAGATATGAGAATTCTTAAGAAAAGACAAAAAGGATTTTTTTGAAATTTTATGGTTTAAAACAACCTTAGATATTTGTATGAATATAAATCATCTCATAAAGTTAAATTATTTTTAACATAGAAAAATAATATTCTCTTTTGTGACAAATTTTTTTTAAAAATTCACATAATTGACAGAGAAATTACTACTTATATTCAAATAAACATGTGCTCTTTGAAGGGGTTAGGGAAGGTCTTCAGGCAAAACAGGAACAGGACAAAGCAAAGATTATGATACTTAACTTCCTCAATTTTTAAGGTAAATTATATAATTTTGATAACTAATAATTTTATCAGTAATCAATAAAGAACAATTACAAATTAGTAGCTCAGCTATATATTGTAAATTAAGGAATATGACCTTCTATTTAACACATATAATGGCTCAAACTGTTAGCCTCACATATAAACACTCAACCGACTTATGACTTGCTGCAGGCAAAGAAGAGAATAGATGAGCCAAGAATATAACACCTAAAGAAGGAGAAAATATGTTCATCAATCAAGGGATGCAGAATATATTCAAGATAGTCAAAATCATCAATCAAGGCAAATAAATCAAAAAGGAAAGAAATCAAAATACACTATATCAAGCGGGAAAGCCATGTGTTGTACGAGCCACAAAAGGAAAACAAATATTGCATTCACTATTGCAATAAAGATATTTCTTGATCTCTAGAATCAATCAGATTCCAAAATCAATAAAGCAGATCATGATCAATTAGAGATTTCATAAATCAATCAAATATATTCAAGATTGCAGAATATATTCAAGACTGCAGAACAAATTACCTAAGGAAGAAAAGAGATAATGTGCATCAATCAAAGGATACTTTCAAGACAACAAGATCAGTTAACATCCAAGACTACAAGGAAGAAATTGAAATCAAGGGATGCATTCAAGTTAACCAGATCAGCCAAAGATTCAAGACCACAAGAAGATCTTCATACAAAGGAATAAATAGATTTGCTCATGCACATATCTTCTATGGACATGACTCAGCAGATCAATCAGAATAAAATCAAGGACTTAATCAAATATCCTTGATTCAAAATCCCTTAGGTTTCCGTAAAAGAGCAAAGACCTCCAAAGCTATATAAACCTCTCTTAGTCATAGTTGTGAAGTATGCACTTCACTTGAACTTATATTGTAATATTCTTTTGTCTTTCATAAAACTTTGTACACACTTGAGTGAACAATTGAAAAGAAAAGAGAAAGAAAGATCTGAGTGTAGGTTATACAAGTAAAGGTTGTGTCGAAGAAGAAGATCTGATTTGCATATCAGATGAGGCTCTTAATGGTAACATTCTGTAATAACCAAGTTCTCAATAAGCTCTTAAGGAAACCTTTGTAACCCAAGGGGACTAGAAGTAGGCACCACATTGGTATTTCAAACCAGTATAAACTCTCTGTGTCATTTACTTACTATTTTTACTATCTCTGTATATCTGTTTTACTAACGTGCAGGTGAGTCGACTGGAGAGAATTTTAATTCACCCCACTCTTGACTTTCACAAACCACCTAGAAATTGTACTAAGCTAAACAATGATGGAAGTTGTGTTCAAGAAAGTTGTGGTGGAGGAGGGATAATCAGAGACAGTCAAGGCAACATGATGATTGCTTACTCTTTAGGTCTAGACCAAGGTACTAGCAACATGGTTGAAGCATGTGCACTACTCTATGGTCTTAAATGGTGTGTTAGTGGAGGTTATGATAGGGTTTGGGGAGAAACGAATTCCCTACTCTTAGTAAAATGCATAAACGGAGAATGGAGAACGCCTTGGAGATTGGATAAATTGATTCAAGAAGCACAACAAATAGTTGAATCTCATGGATTTATCATCTGCTTCAGGAAAGCCAACAAATCTGTTGATATATTAGCATTCAAGAGCTATAGTGTTGATGCAATACATGATTTCAACTCTTTCTCTGATCTCTCGAGGTAAGTTAGGGGATTAATTAACACAAATAGATGGGAGCTCCCTTCCTTCAGAATGCAGCAGGTCAAACCTTCTAATTTTATTTACGAACCCCCCTGAATCCTCTTTGTCAAGGAGTCAAGTTAGTAGAGTAATAGCTAGCTTAGACTCCCCCTTTTTTGGTGTTAACTTGTAGAGTTTATATAACTCTATTTCTACCCCAAGATCTTGTATTGAGTTTGGTGTGTCAAAGTTCAAATTGTAACTCTTTTATATCAATGATCATTGGAGGCCGTTAATAAAAAAATCAACAATCTTTTACCATCGAAAATTTAATCAAAATATGAGACTCATACAAATATCAACTAACATTGCAATTCAATTATAGAGTAAGGATTAAACAGACCATTAACAATGTTGGACCGAGGAAGATTCTATCATAATGAATTTGAATCTCACTATAGTGTGCAATATATCATATCATCAGTCTAAAAAAAATATTTTTCTTAAAATTTTCTAACTGTAATTGTAAGTATTTTCATAGGCAATTCTTAAAAGTGTAACATTAAATTACTCATTCCGATTCTCATATTAAACATGAAAAACTAAATTAGAGCGTAAACGAAATCAAATTCCTTAGATACATGAACATTATTTTAAATAATCATCTTGAAAAGAAAACAAATCTTACGATAACGATTTGGTGAATACATTCATATATTTATGAGGTTAAGCAACAAGTTAGCCTTATTATTCTTTTTATTTTTCTATATTTGTAACAGTGTACTAATATTTTTGAAATATAGTAATTTGCTTGATTTTTCTCCGATCTCTTATCATAAATATTATATTATAATTCATTAAAAAAAACTCAAAACTTTTACCAAAAGTTGAATAACAAGCGATAAAAGATTTTTTTTCAGATAAAGTGATTTGTAGATTACTATATGTTCTCACCTTACGAGGAATTTCAATAAACTTTTTTAGTTATATATGCTGTGTTGTAAAAGTGAGAAAGTGTGGGTTTTGATTTTATTTAAGAGTGGGTCAAAAGTCGACAAATATTTAAACACACATGAATTTATATTTGAGTTAAAAGAAGAACGACGTTGATATCTACCTATTAAAATTACAAAAAAATTGTAGTATAGATTTATTTAATATTCAAATCTTAAAAAGTATTTCATTTATGATGCATCAAAAATTATATTATAATCAACATCAGAATATTTATCGATCGCGTAAAGTACAGATAGATTAACTTGGATCATTTCTCAGACTAGCTAGTACATAAAACACAAGCATATACTCACAAGGAGCATATTTATTTAGTCTACTAGTAAATATAATCAAGTTAATTAAATTCAGACTCCACAATAGGCCTTCAAAGCAAAATCACATTTCATGTCTTCTTCAGTGTAGCCGAAAGAAAGGAATTTATGATAATCAAAGGGCTTAAAGAGTAAAGGATGATCTTCATCTACCAACTCTTTTGGTGCCTTTATTATGTATCTAGCTTTAGGTATTGAAAACAAACCAATTGAATACCTTGCTTCGTTTCCTCTCATCATCACTCTATGAAATGGTGCATGCATCCGACCATTTGTCCATGCCTACAAACAACAATAATCCTTCATATTCAGAAAAGCTAAATATGTTTGAACTTTATACTTGCAAATACAAAAGAATATATTCACAAACTAAATCATCTAAAATAATAGCTATAGATATAATCGGCCAAAAAAAAGGGATAGTAACCAAAAACATAAGACACATTACCTATCTTAATTGGTAAAAGTAAGTTGATATTATAATTTATTTATTTTTATATTCAGTGGTGGGAACACAAAGACTGAAGGATGATCAGTTGAACATCTTTTATTTGGAAAAATTATAAGTTTCACAACACTATATATCAGAAAATAAAAGTAGAGTTACATAAATTGTTAATGTTGGAAGAGCTTACATGTAGAGAGTCTCCAATCATGACAGTGAAAGTGTCAGGTGTAGGATCAACATTGATCCACTGTCCATCTTTGGTCAAAATTTCAAGACCTTTCACCTGATTTTGGTATAGTATAGTAACAATGTTCTTATCTGTGTGAGCATGTAGTCCTATTTTAGTCTCATCGCTTTGAGGTTCCTTATACTTCATCAATCGAAGACGATAGTTGGTCGAATTCATATGCTCATCCATGTACTTTTCAACACCTAAGCTCTCCACAATCATTCTTCTTATTGTCTGGTCTAACTTTGATAGTTGCTCTAAATATGATTGGATAGTTTTACTGCCAACACATATAAAAATGAAAAAAATTACAATAATAATATGCATGTTATAAAAAGAAATAATGGAGAAAGATTAATATTTACCTGAAAGAAGGATTTCCTTGAAGCCATAAAAGTTGAGTGTATTTTTCAACTTTATGAGGGATGTTAGAATCAATAATTCCCATGCTTTCAAATAGTGGAATTGAAGGATGGTATTGTCCCACATAGCCATAGAAGGGTTTGGTTGAAATGTTTTGAAGTTTGGTTTGTAAAGGGAGATCAAAAAACTCTTGCGAGACTTCAAAAATAGATTTTTGAAGGTTTGTTGGAATTTTATCAAAGAAAGCTTCAAAACAACCATATTCTACTAGTGCTTTGTAGACTTGGCTTTTCACTTGATTCCATACAAGTGTGTCTGGCTTTAAATCTTCATGAGAAAAGTTTATTTTTGGAAGCTTGATATTTTTGGACCCCATTTTTTCTAGGAAGAATAGATTTTTGTTATATATTTATTATGCTTAATTCTATGCATGCAATTGAATCTATTTATAAAGAATTTGAAACAAGTGAAGGTAAGTACTTTTCCCATGTAAAAATAACAAATCTTTAATGCAAATTGCTTAATAATTCAACGATAAGTAGGCCTTCCTAATTAATAGCATTGTTGCTAAACAAATTAAGCTTTCTTAGGTATGTAGGCAAAATCGAAAATTCAATATTTTTGAAATTTTGGTTTGAATTTTGTGGATTGTGGAAGAAAATATTTAGTGGTAAAGAAAATGAATTCTCAAAAGTTAAAAGAAAGGATTTGGGTTGTTTTTATTGAGGTTTATATGATTTATTGGGTTGTTAGCTTTATTTGTATGCTTTTTAAAAAAATTCATTATCTGTTAATACTAACCGATTTCCATCGTAATGATGTTTTTATTGATTATCGTAACTGTAAATTGGAATGACTCTTTATGATTCAAAATAGATAAAGAAAATTTCAAATACTTCCCATACAAATTGAAAATAATAGTGAGTGGGTGTTTTTATATTATTAAAGATTTATCAGTTAAGCAAAGTGATATTTTTTGGGTTGTGCTTATGGAGTTTTGAGTTTTTTTTTTTTTAAAAAAAAAATTATAGCGAAAGCAAGTGATGTATAATATGAAGAGATATAGGTGAAATTAAAATTAAAATTTTATGAATTTAGTAATTAAAGTTTTTAGTACTAACTTTTGATACTTTTTCAGGTTGTGCTTTAGAATATCCTTTTTTTTTTTGTGTGTGTGGGGTTAAAGCAAGTGGTATATATATCATGATATTGAGATATTAAGGCAAAATCATTATTTAAATTTTACATATTTAATATTTAGTGATTTAGCACTAATTTATCATATTTTCAAGTTATGAGTTCACTTTCATTGTTTATTATAATTTTAAGTAAAAATTAGGAAAATGACATAGTATAAGAAAGAAATTACTTCCTTTCCCTACTCTTTCATTAATTACCAAAAATTCCTTTTTTTTAATGTTTTTCGGATACATAATATAGTAGTGTGGATACTTAATATAGCAGCGCGGATACTTTAATTAATAACGGGCGGATACTTAAATTATTCAATTGTTAGCAGCACGGATACTTAATTAACGGGCGGATGCATAATATAGCAACACGAATACTTTAATTAATAACGGGCGAATACTTAAATTATTAAGTTGTTAGTGTTATACCCCATTTTAACTCGAGGTCAAAACGTGTACAACATATTGGTGATTTCCAAATTAATTAACTTAAGAAGTCGCCACCTAATTAATTATGGTGAATTAGGACACCTAAATATTTAACTAAGTAATACTAAAATGACTTCAATTAAATGGTCTACTTAACTTGAATGATTCTAGGTAAGGGTTCTAGTTATCCTAAAGGGAAGGGGTAAGGCATCCTTTAAGATTCGTTAAAAATACGATTATCGACCAAACTTAGGTTAAAAATGAAAAGAGTGCTAAAGGTTAAGTAATTGAGTAACCAAGTTGGAAAACATTTTTTATTTTAAAAGCTTTTTGCAATTGTATTAGAATGAAAAAGAGTAATTTCTTTAGATCAATTTAGACAAATTCATGGCTTAAAAAAGGGTAATTAAAAAAAGAATTAGCTCATTGATTGACAAAGTGCTCCCTTTAGAAAAGTTTTAGCAAAATAAGAGTTTAGAACAAAATATCTTTTGTCTTTTAAAAGACATTGTCAAGTTTGAACAAAACTTAATAAATCTAGTGAGTTAAAAAATGGTGCAAAATGAAGTGTCTTAAAGAAAAGTTGTCAAATAAAGTTTATAAAAAAGCTAAAATAACTACAAAGGTTTGTTTCTAACTTGATGTACCCAAACCCAAACAACTATATCAAGTTAGTTAACAAGAAATTAGCACATATCCAAAACACACAAGCAAGTTAAAACAAATAAATGCTAAATAGTAATAAGTAAAAGCGACCCTCCAAATGAATTTTGCTTGCTATTTGGATATTCTAGGATATCGACTTTCATGTGCGGGTATGATGATGTTGAGTCCATGAGACTCTAAATTTGCGAGAGTCCTTAATTGGGACTCCATTTTTGCTCCGAAAATTCGTGCAAGTAGAAAGAGGATAAAAAGATTAGTAAGACTATTCAACTTTAAACAATATACTAAATAAGAATAGATAGAGCTAAGTAAGGTTACGCTTCAAATACATTATTTTAACACGTAACTAAGCATGAGAGCCAAACAATATGATCACTTTTGTAATTAGTGACTTTCGAACACAACATCAAAGCAACTATATATTTTATATAAAATCAAACAAGATTTTTATTTTTTACACATGCCACTGCTTACAATTTTTGAAGAAAACACGTAACATAATCTAAGGAATAATAATGACTTACAGTTTATTTTTTAAACTAAAACAAAGTAAAATTATATCCCTTAAGCAATGTTTCTGCATATAATCGAATGAGCTGAATTTTCTTAACACACCAAAAGATAATTAATATTTTTTAAAAAAGATTTCGTGCAGCTGACTCATCCCAATCACTTTTAAAGGTTAAGCTAACTAGACGTGAAAGGAGAGCATCGGTTTTATAATAACTAACTAAGAAAAATTGATTGATATACGACATTCTTAAAATAGAAGAGCACATTATAAATCATGTAGATAGAAATAGAGAAAACATGGGAGGCGAGTATAACCTGTTGCGGGGCAGTGAGCGAGGTGCTTCGATCGAAGGTAAGCTCAAACCACGACTAACTCGAGCAAACTTACAACCAGAGCTTTGGCTGAGATCGCAACAGAATACAAAAGGTAATTTTGAGAGCAAAAGACAATAGTTCAAGACGCTATCGGGGCAGAAGAACTTCTTTTCGTAAGAATGGATGTCAAGGCTATTATCAAGGTCCAAAAAGTCCCCCTGAAATGAGTGGAATATGTTGGTATTTATAGCCATGAACTAGGGTTCTTGGCTCAAGTTTGGGCGGGATTTGAAGAAGTAAAAGAGCCGTTTTGAATTCAAAATTGTGCATGTGATTCTTCATCAGAGATGTCAAAAGTATTTTGGCTTTTTGTTGACTAAATTAAAGAAGAAAGAGTGAATCAGGAAGAGGAAGAGGGCGCTGACTTTTTGCAGAAGAGAGAGGTGAAACACTTGCACGAAAATGGAGAAACTAAGCTCTGCATAATGTTAAAGATCTCTGAAACTTTCTCAAAGAGGAAGAACGATGCTGCTCTTTTGGACCAGGCGCAGCTGCATGCACGAATTAGAATTAGGGCTCACGTTTGGGCTGAATATTTGAGTGGATTTGGGCTGAGTTCTTGGGTAAATGGGCTGCAACGCTGGCTTGAATCATGGGCATTTTCCTTCTTCTTTTAAATTAGTATAAATTATAGGATTCACATAGTGTAAGATCTAAATTACAACCTATACCTACTAATTTTCAATTTACAAAAATCCCTTAAAAAATGAGGGGCCGGATACATACCTACCGTTCAGATACATTGTAAACAACTTCTTGTTGCGCTTAAAAAGGAACAAATCAGGTAAAATTTATTTTTACTTATTTTGATTTCCTTGATTAATGCACGTAAAATTTATTTTTACTTATATTAATTTCATTGATTATCGCCTAACTGATTCTTATCAGTCCATATCTCAATAGGTAACATATCACAAATTCCAAATTTCAAATTTACATCTTCTCCATTGAACAACCATTAATACTGAAAAAAGTGGTAATTTAAAAAAACTCAAAAAAGTTACTGATACAAGATAAATATATCAATTTTGTTGAGAAATTCAAGAATTTGGGTTGATAGGTGAGTTATGAAGGTTACAAAAGTGATGGAATCTCAAATCCGTCAATGATACAACATACAAGATGGATGGAGATCTACATTGATGCTACATCCGGCGATCTATCAATCCCCATTAATCGATGTTCAAAAGAACACGAGAAGATTTATCAACAATGGTTCAATTTTGCTGATTCTGATAATTTTTTTAGTGTTTTTGTGCAAATAAGAGAAAAAAGAAATAATTTTTGAATGATGGGATAGTTAATTTGATACAGATGGAGATGGATGTCTTAGTAGTGGAGATGTCATCCAGTTCTTTGCCATGTCCAATTTGCCTCGATCAGAACTCAAACATGTTCTTTTCTATCTTTTATGTTTGTGAAAGCTTGAACCATTAGAAAACTTTGATTAGTCTTACTTCAAAAACATCAAAAAATGGTATTTCATTTAATGTATCATTGACTTGTTTAATTTTTTTAGGTTGTTGCATCGTCTGAATTTATTCTTTTAGTTTATGAATCTGGAAGAAGATACATTGTTAGCCTTGAAAAATATGTAATTGTGGGAGATTTCAACTAAACGAAATACCTTGTGCAAACACAATTGTTGTTTTGAAGAGTAAGATATTACAGATATGCATCCCCTATGATTACTACATTGTAGTGAATATGTGTTAGATACATTAATACATAAATCTCACTACTTTAGATCCTAATTACTAAGATTCACAATAGTTTGTAATATTACTTTCTATACCATATTTTGATCGCGAGATACATGTATCATTAAAGGCGAGATACATGTATCTAACTGTTTTAAAAGTAGAGATACACGAGTTGTTGTGGACGTTGTGGACACGAATGTCACAACCGTGGGACTTGTACTTTTTTCCCCAAAGGAAAGTGAATCATTGAATTTATATAAGATATTCATGTTCATGTTGAATAATTTTTCAATTATATGAATTTTGCACTTTTATATTTCAATAAAGTAGCTTGAATTGTTAACAATGTGAAGTATCGATACAATATATGTGAGTTTTGCTATTTTGTATAAAAATTAGATCAATTTTATATGTGGGTGAATTATTTGATACATAATTAACTTATGTAAATCTATAAGCATTGATAAAACTCATATCTAAGTTATCTAATAATAACCTATGTGAATCTGATACATAATT